TTTAAATACCGCACACTGGGTTTTAGGAATTTCGAACCTTTTTCATGCGAACACCCGAAGACTCATTTCCAGTTGGTTCTCCAAACTCTGCAAATCCTTTACGCTTAAGCCAGAAAGTTCTTCACCCATCATTTGCCTGTTATCATCATATGGAAATGTAGTTAAGGTCTTAGATTTTTGTCTAGGATAATTGTGAAATTTGCAAATCAGGCATATAGTGAGAAGCAATAATTCATTGCGTCCTTTTACAGTATTCGGTTCCTGAAGGATTTTTCAGGTTCCATTAAGATTTACCATTAATCTTAGGTCCGAGTGCTGGAGGTAGTTTATTCACATTAGGAAAAACAACTCTGAATGCATTTTTTCTTCGAGGATAAATAGAAGATATTAACAGGAAGAAATAGCTGGGCAAAGAATTATTGGAGAAATGACTTAATTCAGCTGTAGGTGTGATACTAGAGGTATTAGTAAGGCTGTTGAACGAAACAGGTTCAGTTAAAGCAATGATCAACTCATGCAGATACTTTAATCTTGTTCAATGAAAAGAATTTTGAAATGCTTATGAATGTGACTTGGCTTATAAGTTACTGGGTTAAACAATGATAAGTTTCTTGAGGTCCTAAACAAGACCAGCACTACTTGAATACGTTTAAGAGAGGGTGTCTGGAGGCTGCTGCCTTCTCTCAGCCCACTTTGCTCCTGATGCTCATTGCTGCTGACATGTCTCTTGGGTGACTGAGATGAACTTTTTCAGTGTGGCACAAATGTTTTTTTTTCCTTTGTGTGTGTGTGTGTGTTTTAATTGGTAGTGATCACATGGACACAAGTGATACCTACAAGAGTGTGACTTTAAATAATAGCGTGCTCCTTTGAAAGTTTTGGTTTTTCATATTTGATCTATCGTAATTACTCTAGTGTTGCTTTTTATGCTCATGTATCTCATGTAAAACACTATTTTTCAAAGGGAATGGATCATACCGATGATTTTCTTGCAAGTTATGCAGTTGCTGTCTCAACATTGCCGCCTCCCTTTGCCAGAACTAGCAAAATATAATGCACAATTTAGCGAATCACTAACTTTTGTGGTCAAATGCAAACACTAAAATTTGCCTTCTATTGTTATGAGAATGCATCCGAAGAGAAATAGATAAGAAAAAAAAAAAAAACATTTGATCTATTTTCATGTCTGATAAGCCACTCTCTCATCTCCATGCAGTGGTTATGATTCAAATACACCATGTTTTTTCTTTTTCATGTCTGATGGCCACTGCCCCTCTGATCTCCATGTAGCCCTCCTTCTATCTTTCTCTATAAAACTAGAAAGTATTTTTATGATGTGATTCGAGACAACATGTATTGTTCTTGATACTGATAAAATGTCTTGTGATTTCTATCTTCATGCAGTGGATAGTTGCGGTTAGCAGAGGTACAGCGTAAGATATGTTACTACACCTTAGACCTTATAACTTGAATCAATCAATAAGGCTTGGTTGTGTTGAGTTCATATGCTTTACGATATTTTTTTTGACATAATAGATATTTATTTATTCCATTGGTTCGTGCTTTGCCTCAGTCTGAGTACATGAAAGTTGGCACGTATGTGTTTTAATTTCAGTTTATCCTGCTAATTTGTAACAATAATACAAGGCCGATTTCCTGTCAACAGGTTGAAGCTTCATGAAGTATTCTTCATTAGTATAAACTAGGCTTCATTATGCATACACTCCTATTAACCTATGATGTGTGTTACTATGTCATTTCAAATGCAAGTTACCATGTTGTTTGTGTAGCACAATTTTGGCATTTCACTTATCTGTTGCGTTTAAATTTGAGGATATCTATAGTAGATAGGATTTTCATGCAGCCAATACCAGACATATGCATTGTCATTGTCACAGAATAAAATGAACACTGGGTACTGAAATACCTTGACTTCTGAGGTTGGGTTGCCCATTTGATGATGCTCCTCTTTTGATTTGTTGTATCTTTCAATGACTGATTTCATGCTGCAAGAGCAGATTCATATGGCATCAGGGATGTGTACCATATTCTATGTGAATGCTTTCTGATAACATTTTAAGAATAAACTGTATGGAATAACCACAAGGATGGTTTCTTGACAAAGCAAAATGGACACATTTGAACTATTTATCATTTATGTCTTTTCCAGTAGTCATTTGAGTTTTCCTCGCCATGGGAGCTTGAGCTGCTGATGGAATATCCATTAAGATACTCAAGTCTGCAAGATAGCAATTAGAGCACTATCTCAAAGATAAGTTTCCAATCTTTACTTTATTTGATGCAGGGTTTGATGTTGAAAGTTCTAACATCAGTTTTAACCTGGCATTCTTTTATGGAATTGAAAAGGGAAGCTCACTTCCTACGGTACTCTTTTCCATCTTCAATCATTCATTGTATGATTGTGCAGAAAGCATAGACGTGCTGTATTTGGAAATTTTATAGCTTAAATTGTAATGTTTTGCATGTTATTGTCTTCTCTATGGTACCTTTTGAATCAGATGAATTGTTGGTGCAATAAAATTTATAAGGCCTGTGTGAGATGTAGGGCTAGAGCAAGCAAAATTTAAGGAGAGATGGAAAAAGGAAATATCTGTTGACAGATGGTAAGTAACTGACATCTGAAATTGTGCAACTATCTTTTTTGTATACTTATTAACAACAGATAGAATCCCAAGCTTTCAACTTCTTGAATTGTTGAACTTCTCTATTCACAGGAAGAAACATCTTCCAAACTACTTAATAATGGGCAGCTTTCACTCCTCGCTGCTGGTTCATTAGGTTGTGGATTTTTGCTGCTTCCATAGTAAAACAGCAGTATTTGAGTATGCTTGGCTTGTTTCCTGAGATTTATCCAAATTGGGAAAAGGATGCTTTGTTCTTAAATGCTGCATAGCTACGTATCTGAAAAGTTTCTGGAGCTTCATTTAGAGTATGTATTCCTTCCTGACAATTTTGTAGCCATGTGTAGTAAAAATGAAATTATTTAGCAAGAGGGTCTGTATTTTGCTTCCCTTGACATGTCTTCATCGGGGTGATTGAGATCTTACAAAAACTTTCTGTTCAACCTCCTATGCCCTCACTAGCAATCTGAAGTAGTATGAATTGCTTTTTGGTGTTGATTATCCACTATACATGAGACTGAAATGATTTTCTTCCAGGCCCTAATAGTTTTGAGTAGAGCATAAGTGTCAGATATGACAGAGAAATTGTAACTGAAGTGATTCATGAATCTGATGTTTTACAACCACCCACCTCCCAGAACCAAGATAAACGAAGTATAATCTGTAATCTCATCTTGTTTGTTAGATCCTATTGAAGCATAGGTTCAACTATAGAGATATCATCTCAGATCTGTAATATTCCTTGAATTAAGTCCAAGTCCAAACCAACAGTGGATGAAGAGATAGGTGGACCCGTAATCTCATCTTGTTTGTTAGATCCTATTGATGCATAGGTTCAACTATAGAAATATCATCTCAGATATGTAATGTTCCTTGAATTAAGTCCAAGTCCAAACCAAGAGTGGATGAAGAGATAGGTGGGAAATTTGAGGTTGGATAAATAAACAAAACTAATTTAGACTGGATTAGCAGATGAGATTACAAAAGAAAGAAGTCAAATTAACTTCCATAGAAAAGGTGGCTGACCCCAGGCTCTAGTTGATATCCTGGTTGTTGATGCTGAGTTACAATTATTTATTTGAGGATAATTAGCAGCTGTCTACCGTTTTTTTTCAGTCTATCTAAACCTGACATTTGACTTCTGCTATCTTAAACTTCAAACAAACTCGTTGGCTTTGCATATTCATTTGAGATGCTACATTAGCCTGCTTGCTTGTTTGTTAGCAGAAAGTATGCTTGCAAGGCATTCAAGTTTTTTATTGATATTTTGGGTGAAAGGAACTTAATCCCAGTTTGATGCTATGTTTTCCTTGTTCAAACCTTCTCTCTATTACATTTTAATTGGAAATTTTCATTTTGCAGAGTATTTAACGAACTGCAATTTATTATCAGGTAATTAAAAAGAAAAGGCTGGTAAGGATACACGGACATTTCAGTTGTAGCGGCTATACCATGGATTATTTATGAACTTTCACTTGAGTATCTATAAGCGAAGGGCCTCTTAACTGAATATTAACATCTGGGGTAAAATGTAGATATTCACAAAACCTTGAATGCTCAAGTTGTTTGTCATGCCCTATAACATGCTGTCATATCTTCCAGCTTTCTTGGTGACAGGAACATGGAGAGAAGACAATTAGGCCAATCTAGTCAAATATCTGTATATACCATGTGAAATTGTCTGATCTCATGTGAAGGTTTGTTTTTGCTTTCTTTTCCTGTCAAATGGTCTTGGCAGGTTGTAACTGTATTTGATCATGTTTTTTGGATGAATGTGATGCGTTGAAATTAGGGCCTAAAATCCAAGTTCTTACGAAAGCTGTGTTTATGCATAGATAAACGTATCAATTAATTTCTAATTGCCAAATTTTTTTGGTCCTATCCTACCAGATTGAGTTACAGTAGTAACCATATGTTTTTCCTAGCTCAAGATTTGCTGTTTAACTGTTTAAGGTACCCTGGCTCTAGATTGGCAGTTTATTCCTAGCTCATACGCAATATCATCTAATTTAATGAAATGGTTTTGGAAACCAATTGCTTCTCATTTTGTTTCTGACCAATAAGTCTTGAGAATCTTGACCAACAAAACTCGCCAAAACAAATTCGTCATTATGATCTTTTGCATTCTGGTAATTTTGATTGGAGTAACATTGTTATAGAGTTGTTAACATGGGGTGTGTGCACACATGCGCATGTAAAACTATGCGTTCTACAGCTTGAATATTACAGTATTACTTGTGTTGATAGTTAAGTTTTAGAGCTTGCAAGCATTTCAGTGGCCGTACTTCATTTGTGTCTTCCATTTCTCTCTATCTACTCTATGATTATAATTTGGTGCATATTTTTAAAGAACTAACCATGAACCTTTTCTCGTCGTTGACGAGGAGCAAGTTTGAAGGAGTCAAGGTTTGTGAAACCCTACAATCATTAAGTGCTTCTTTGTGTTCAATTTTGGTATGATCATAACTGATTTCTAAAGCAGGTTCATAATTTAAAGATAAGCTATGGGTTCTAACTTCTAAGTTTACTCAAATATTTTCTCTGTTTTCATAGGGTGAAAATATTTTTCTTAAAGAGTTAACAAAATTTCCAAATTGACTAGAAACTTTTTCTTAGTGACCAATCTTTCTCTATCATCAAAATGTAAAATTATGCAAAACAAGCGGTCTTGATGAGTAGTTCTATTGTGATATAAATCAATTTCATCTTTAATGATGCTTTAACACTTACTAAATCTCTTAATCTTTCTCAGCTGAGTGAAACCTCAAAAGAAAGCTTAAGTTGCGTCACAACTTGTTCATGGGGTGCTAGTCAAAAAGATATATTTGGAATTCTAAGCTTAAAATTGAAATTAACTTTCTTTTTTCTTCTGAAAATTAATTTGAAGATTCTCTTTAATTGCTCGATATGTTATTATTATTATTATTTTATGTTAATAGTAGGATTTGAACCATGACTCCCTCACTCTCTTTAGAAAATATGTCTTTAGAATAAAAATCAATTAGTGGGCAGTTTATACCTAATCAAATTGTAACGAATTAAGTAAATTGTAACTGAGGTATTTAATTGGAGGGGAAAAACTCAAGATTTGGAGATTTAACAAACCAATATGGACATTTATTATGGAGCTTTTCTACTAAGAACATAAAAACAGGGAAAAGATTATCAAAATTGAGAATGAAAAATAGTTAAATGCTATTCCTGGATGGAGAGAGGCTGTTTCTAGAGCTTATAACTATGCCTATTGAGTCCTAGCTAATATGAAATACGGATATCAACACAACCTCTTAGTATAGCGGTGGGAAGCCTCCAGTGCACAACATATAGCTTATAATAATGCATCTTGACTCCTAGTTGATATGAAATAATGATATCATGACAGCCTGTTAGGTTTGGGAACCTCTAACGAAACCTATATTTCCATGAATGAGAGAATAATGCACTGATGATGTTGACTTAAATCCTCTACCTGGGTATTCTCTTGCATTGGATCTTAACATTTGATACGTGTGCTTGTTGGTTTATCTATAGAAGGCTTCCTCTTTCAAGAAATGTCGTCCCTCCTAGGGGTAGTGTCCTTTGGCCTAGAGGTTTGGTGGGTTTTATCAGCAAATGTTGTCTCTTCGGGAGGTTGTGCTTGGAGTTTATAAGATGCCTACTTCGACTTGTAACTGATGTTAAGATATTTGTGTCATGACAACTCCCTAACCAAAGGATTAAGGAGCTTTGAGCAAGCAATCCTCGTAGCCACTGACTCTACACTTTATGAAGCTCCATAAAAAGGGATCGTCCACATAGGTCATAGCCTTTTGCTTGTAGGCTTTGTGGGTTTTGTCTACAAAAGTTGTCTCCCCCAAAGGGTTATTGTTCCACTTTAGATCCTAGCCTTGGCCAATAGGTTTAGTGGGTTTTGACCAAAAAATGCATTTTTGGGAAGAGGGGTTGTACCTATAGCATATAACTATTTAGGTAGTCGTTCCTAGTTGATGTAGAATATGGGTATGAGACCTCTTGGTTGAGTGGTATAGGGGCCATTAGCACACAAATCATATTCTTATGTGGATGCTACTAATTACGATGGCTTAAATCTATTGCATAGCTGATCCCTCAAGGGAATTGCTCTCTCTCCTGTATTTGGTAATTTTTATCCATAAAAGAAATGGCTGTGATTGAAGCTTATAAACCATAGTGCTCTCTACTTTTGGCCAATGTACAATGTAAGTGTTTTGAAAAAATCAATGTAGTTTTTTGAAAAATGTTATTAACATTTTTATCTGTAGGGGATCTATGGAGGGAGTGTTTTTCACCACATTAACTTGTCCAATTTTGCATTAGAAGGAAGCAGGGCGACATTCTTGTTATTTCTAGCCATATATATATCTATATATATATATATATATATAATACTAACATTATTTTATTTTTGTTATTTTGAACTCAAAAAAATTTGGAATTAACATGTTATTGGATTGAGGTCCATTTGAAAAAGTTTTAACGGTAGTTGTAGTTATTATAATTGTAAAAAATTATTTGATGTTGTGTGTTGTGCAAATGTTTTATGTTAAATAAGATTCAAAAGCTCAAAAGTTTCATTTTGTTGTTTCTGACTTTTGGCTTGCAAATAGTTTTTAAAATAACTTTTACAATTTTACCAAACGTTTTTTCAACCGATTTAAAATTAAAAGTCAAAAAATAAAAAGAGAGAGAGAGTGAGAGGAGGAAGAGGAGAAGAAAGAAGCCAAGCGCTCCTAATCGCCGAACAGAAACTAAAAGTTTTTTCAGAAAATGTGGTTGCTAGAATTGTGGCTGATATAGTTGTAAAAATATGTTTGGTAATATGCGATGTTAAAATGTTTTTATTTTAAATAAGATTTACAAATTCTAAAAAAATATGTTGTAGCTTCTGACTTTTAGCTATCAAATAGCTTCCAAGACCTTTTAGGGATTTTTGTTAAATACCTTCTGCAATAGATTTAATAATAAATAAATAAAAAGCCAAAAGGCCTAATTGTTAAGTGGGATCTAAATTGCTTTCAAAAAGCTTCTCTCGTAAAACTTTGTAGCATCTGTTATCGAACTAGGTGTAATGACTGTGAACTCTGGGTAGTGACGATGAGGAAATGGCCGGTGGTTGTGGGGGTAGTGGTTTCGGTAGGGTTGCGTCGTTGGTGGATGTAGACATGCTAAGTTGGTGGTTAGGGTACGAGCATTGAAATTTCTTCCTCATGAGTTGCATTTAAATAAAAACAACATTCTCAGGCGAAAAAGAACACCGATTGCTGTAAAAAGATGTTGAAGTTTTATTCACATTCCCGTATATAGTTCTATTTTCTTTTTCTTATTATTATTTTTCTTTTTGCTAATTAACTATCGAGAGTAAATGATTTTATTTTCATCTATTCTAGTAATTAACACACTTTACATTGCAAATTAATATTCTGGCGGCTATCTCATATTTTGGAAAACTCTGTCAAGTGGTTTATTTCACGTCTTCACCCTATAATTGAATTAACCGACAAGTTTTAGGTTTGTGGCACCTAGATTTGTACTGTTATCAGTTGATGTAATGAGTTTCATTTTCACAATCAATAATCAAGTCAAATATGCCATGTTATGGTTACTGACTCTTTGGAAAGAAGTCTTGAAATGTTTTCTTGTGAGCACGTCATTTTGGTTGCTAACATTTTTTCTAATTTGAGAATTAATAGTAATGGTTGTTAAGGGATAATGGTTGCTAAGCCGAAAGAAATTAAGTGTTATTTTTCACCAGGTGATAAAATAAGTTGAAAAAACATTTAAAGTGGATGGAGTAGCCTGTCTTTGGATTGAGAAATTTATGATTCTCTTCTATTTGAGTGTCGTAATTTTTTGTTTGTTTGTTTGTTCAAGAGTGCCAATTTTTAAATTGTTTATAATTAATTGTTTATGTTAGAATCGTTCTAACATGATTGTTAAATTATAAGGTTTTGATGGAAATTGATATATATGCGGGTGTGTATGTGAGAAATGGAAGATTTTATTGAGAAAGTAGTATAGAAAAAGAGAATTAGCTTTGTTGTATGATGAATTTTTTTTTTCAAAAAAACTTTTAAAGTTAGTGATGGAAATTTATTTGATTTTGAGAAGGTTTAGGAAATTGAGTAAGTGACTTTGTTTTTAATTGTTAGCAAGTCATATTTTATTTTATTTTATTTTTGTTTTGAATTCTATTATTATTTTGATGTGGTGTGGCGGGGATAAATGGTTATGACACGGATTAAATATAGTGTAAGATCTTACGTAGCATATTTTACAATTATCATCTAACTTACAGATTACATGTCAACCCAATCCAATCTGCTTTCATATCTAATTCTCTTCTCTTCTCTTTCCGATTTCAAATCTTTAATAACCCTTAAACTCAATTGAATTAAAATCCTAAAAATTTTCAAACTTTTTTATTTGAAATCTTCTTTGCCTTGACAAACTCCGATCGACTAATCCCTTTTCATTTTAAATCTTTTGTTTCTTCGGATAATAACGAAAATAGCAATAATTAGATTTTAGGAAGATTTTTGCCAATGATGGGATTTTGAGTTGTGTTTTGACAATGGTGAGGGTTTGTTATGGCTGTCAATGGCAAGACTATTGGAGAATGACTTGTTTAGGGTTCGATATGGCAAGTCGTGGCAAGTTCAAATATGAGAAGAGAATGACCAGTATGGTGGTTTGTGGTGGTATGGCCGATAGTGGAGTGGGTTTGTGGTGGCGTAGTTGGCAATTGTGTGGGTTTGCGATAGTTGAAATTGAGTATGAGAAGAGAAACAACATTGGGTTGTTTGGTGGTGGTGTGACTAATAGTGGGTTAGTAGAGAGGGTAGTGGGCGATTGGCTTTGACGTAGAGAGAATGGAGTTGGGTGGAGGAGATGGTGGTTGAGAGCGACATTGAGAGCTGGAGAAGGTGCTCAAGAGAATGACATTAGGGATGGCAATGGGCAAGGCGGGGATAGCCATCTCCATCCTCGCCCCATGCTCCGTTTGGGGTAAAATTTTGCTCCTCATCCCCGTCGAAAAAAAAAAAACCATAATCGTCTCATGTCTCGTTCAAATTAAAATTTCATGGCCCATCCCGGCCTCAAACGGAGCGGGTTCGAGACGGGTTGGATTGCCATCCCTAAATGGCATTGAGAGAGTTGGGTTGTTGTGTTTTTGGGGAGAGAGATGGATAGCGTTGAGGGTTGGGGAAAGTAATCGTGTCATAACATGTTGTATGCGAGTGAGAGAGGATAATTTTGAAATATGTTATGTGCGATCCTATGTGTTATCATCATTTCTCCGTGTCACATCAAATGATAATAGAATTTTAGACGAAAAAATTCATGCTTGTTAATATAATTAACATAAGTTTAGTTTTTGTATTTTTTGTTCAACATTAAAAAATTGTGTTCATATGATTAAAAAATATAAAGTTGATAATTTTTTAGTTCAATATGTCTAAATGGAATAAAATGTTATTATTGTTTGATGTTTTAATTTTTAATTTTGTTTAAGTTGATAAAAAAAATGGTTCCCATAAGATTGCAAAGTATATAATCATTAAATTTCAAAATTTATTGCAATAATTGATAAATTTTTAACAATCACATATAATTAATTACAATTAAAGTGCAGTGTTCGTACTTACGTTGTTTATATATTAGTATGTGGATTTGTCAATTTAACAATCACATTTGCATGAATTTACCATAAACATTTGTTAAAAAAATTAAAAATTTGTACACTTAAATAAAAAATAAAAAATTAAAACGATCGAATATTAAAAAAATGAAGAATTTATATACTAAATATGTAATAATCTCACTAAAGTAGTAGTAGTTGTTGTAATTAGGGATTTGTGAATAGAGCATTGTTCTCCTCGCTCAATGAAAAATGGGTTTCAAAGAATGGAAAGAAAATAAGTGAAGAAAAAAGAAAAGTAAACCCAATGTTTGAATCGTAAGAAATTTGAAGTATTGCATATTTTTTTAGCTCACGATGCAACATTCTACATTGTTTGCATTAATAATTTGATAATCTTAAAGTAGCTCGAACAAAGATCTAAGGATCCATTATTATAACAAATCCTAACTATGAATCTCTTTGTTAGCTCACAATGCTACATTCTACATTATTTGTGTTAACAATTTGACAATGTTAAAGTGGCTCGAATAAAGATCTAAGGATCCATGATTATAACGAATCCTAACTATAAATCTCTTTGTTGCCGACCAGTACAACGATTAATTATTCTTCACATGAGTAGCATCGATCTATTGACATTGTGCTGTATTGAAGGAAAATTGTGGGATAATAAGATGGCATGTAGCAATGCATTCATGTTTCATCACAATTAATTGGTTTCAAAAGAATTGTCCTTGATTTGTAAATGTTAAATGGCTATAAATTAAGAGTTTTTAAGATTCAAAGTTCGAAGTCAGGATCTCCTTTATGGAAACGGTGTAATGACGGATGTACGTATGCCTATCTTCGTATCCTAATCTCTCTCTTAACGATAGAGTAATGGCATTCTTGAGTCACTTATTAAGTCAAGTATATTTTTATTCAATCAAAGGCAAAATAAAATATGTTTTTGCAGGCATTAGGTAATTTAGGATTAAGATTTAAGTGCATTTCTTCTCCACCATGCTAATCCCTCATCTGCTTTTATCTGTGATTCAAAGTTTTGAATATAGGATTATGAGCAAGAGTTGATTAATATGTAAAACTTAGACAAGATATATAGCAATTTTTTTTTCCATACAAATTTGGCATTTTGTTTCTTATATTTTGACCTCTTATGTTGACTTTAAAATGACTGATTACCAAGACAATTTGTAGTTTGAACGATTTAAAGATAAGAAACTTATTAAACTAAAAGACAATTTGGCATCGTGATGATTTGATGATATAATGAAGTTGACTGTATATTTTTATATTAGAAAATATGTCCATATAAAAGTAATGTTACACTGTGTGATTTTTTTTTTTTAACTATATTGTAAGTTGCAAGTTAGAGCATTATCATCACATTTTTATTTTCCTATAATACAAGAAGAGCATGCTAAATTTTTTTCGATTTATCGATTTGTTTTTCAAAAATTCCTAATCACACCCTTGTTGACCAAAAAAAAAAAAATCCAATTATAACTTTTAGTTTTATAAGTTTGATCGTTATTTTCAATGAACTCTTTTATTAAAAAAATTGGTTAGTTATGAGTTTTACATTGTTCTAAGTTTAAAAACAACGTAAAACACTGAAGTATTGCATTTCAGATATACAATTAACAGATTTATGCAGTAAAGTAGCTAACAAAAAATGTGAATTTTAACTTATTTATATATATCGTAGGGTATACAAAAATAAGATCAAACTCTGGTCTTTTTCTTTTTTCTTTGTAATGAGGATAGGAGCGAAATTGTCTAAAAGACACAGTGACGCACACATATACAAGTATGTCCTATTAGGAAGCCGTCAAATATAATACACATAGTTACTGATCTTTTCAAGACGACGTCACTTGGAAGTTCGCATGACTAAGTTTTTATGGTTTCCTCTTCAGGAAGATCCTTACTAATTAAACGAAGCGAATGGAGGAAGGTCCTTATCTTCTAACTGGACACTGCAACTTTACTGAGACAATGAACTGTGCTATTCTTATTATGAAATGTATCAACTCGGCTTGTATAATTAATGTTCCTGCCCTTACATTCTTTCTTAATAATCTTTAGTTTATTTCAAGTGGATAAGTTTTTATAATAATAATAATAATAATAATAATTGAGCTTTTCAATACCTTTAGCCAACACTAGTTGTTTTAAGCTACCAATTTTGAAAGGGATGCATATGCGCGTGTTTTGAGAGCCAAATCCGTCTCTCCCCCTCCAGCCACTTTGTTCGATCAATCGATTAAGAGAGAGAGAGAGATGCCATCACCATATGACTAGCATGGGGATGGCAGAAGATGATAATAATTGACAGTTTAACATACCAAAAAAATAAGGTGTGGCGTCAATTAAGAGATAAATTACCATCCCTTTATTTTAACAAAAAGAATAAGATAATTTTGGTGTCGATGTATTCCTTTTAAGAAAAATAAATAATGTATTTGATTGTATTTAAAAATTAAAACATATTTTTTGAAAAAAAACACAAAGTCATTTTTAATTTTTGTTGATTTATAGTATATCATTTTGCAAATACTATCACCATTATACCACTATAATGACCATCAATATATTGCCCCACTTTTATTATCACGACGACCATCATCGTCATGATTAATACAATCATCATGTTTATTTTACTTCTTTACCATCATCATGATTAACACAATCACTACTTTCATTTTACTTTTTCACCACCATCATCTTCTTTAACATTATTACTATCATGATTAACTCCACCAACACTATACTATTATTTTCACAATTTTGCAAACATATCATTACAAAAAATTTTACAATTCGAGTGACGGACATCAGAACCAAATATCATTTTGTCGTTAAATAACGACGGATTAGCGAAGGAATTATGATTGTCATCGGGATTTGGATGTGACCGAAAAAATATAGAATGATTTATGACGGATTGTCAAGTCCGTCATTCAATAAGGTGGTAAAATATTCGTGTTTATTTTAGCGATGGATTAGCAATGAAATCACGGGATACTCGGTGATGTATCATTCAATCTGTCGCTACTTTTGGTTTTATTTTTTCCAACCTTGTTAGTGAGAGAATATTTCGTCGCTAATTCCTTTAGTTTGTTGCAAAACAACAACGGATAATATTTGTCGCCAACTTTACCAATAATAGCAATGGATCATATCAATCACTATTATTGGTAAAAAAAAACGCTTGTTTGAAATTCAAAATCATCTACGAGTTTAGCAATAGAGACGTATCTATCGATAAAGTTAAATCCCTAAATTGGCATAATCTCTTTTCTTTTCTATTTTCTTCTTCTTTCAATTATGATTTGGCAATGGATTTTATACTAACTATGTGATTGTTTATAACAAATAGTAATGGAAATACATTGAAATAGCGACAACCAAACCATTGCTAATTGGTGACATATTTTTTAATGCATCGCTAAATAATTTAGCGACAAGCATCTCGATAACGACTTACTTTCGTCTCTAAATCAATACAACAACAAAAATTTTGTGTATAGTGGTGAAAATTTCTTTCGCTAGTTAAATATTTTATGGTAGGGTATTATGCATATCTTTGTTGCTATCATATTATTTGAACCATCCATATCACCGACTACAATTATCATTATTTACTAATAAAATAACAAACATAAATTTAGTGTTACTATAACCCATATCATTATTTTTATCATCATATCAATTATTATAATATCATTCTTATCGTCACCATTGTCATGCATATTATTATCCTAAAATAATTATATTTTTAATTAATAATATGCTGTTATATTTCTTAAATCAAGTTTGTATTAGAATTTTTTCTTTATGTAGATTTTTTAATAAGTAAATATTTTTTTTAAAAAAAGTAAATAATAAACAAAAACAAATTTTGGTTTTTAGAAAACCAAAATTAGAGAATGATACCAAACAACCTCTAAATGATGAATTGCATCCAACTTTCTTTTCTTTTCGATCTCTTCCATTTTCTTTCTCTTTATTACATTTTTCTTGTCACTTGTTGTTGATCTCTACTCTCATCTTAAGAAATATGAAGTTTTAAACTAAAAGTGTTACTTTTTCTTGTTCTTACATGGCATGCAAACCAATGATATATCGATTTTTTTTTTCAAATACAGGCTTAAACCTTAGACTTCTTATAAGGAAAGAGATATGGGTATTAGTTGAACTATAAAATCATCAGTTTAGTCTAGAGTTTATCGACTTATGATGGGTTACTCGCATAAAAATACAATATTAATATAACTGAATATAATATACAGGACGGAAGATATATTACTACATTGAACTCAGTATTATATATCACTAGACGAGAAAAAAAACTGTAAATGAATATATATTGCGCATGCGGAGAAATGAAGTAAATGGAGCATAACATTTTAACATTTTTCGTACAAGAGTATGAATTCCAATTCAATTAAACCTCGCTTCTAAACTAATTTGTATAGGTTACATGTTTTAATTCTCCATTCCATTATGTCAATGTGAACTAAATTTTCTACAACAATTAATAATAGCGACAACACTTTTCTAATAAATATGATACAAAAAAGTCTTTTATTTTCGAGATAGATATCATAAAATTGATTAAAAATACCACCTGATTGCGTTCTTACCAATATATAAAATTGTTTTTGGCAACCTTTCTTAACTATTGTTAATATGTTAGCTAACTCTCATCTTTCTACAACGTATTTTGATAGGCAGAGATTTGTACTGGAAATCATCTTTGTAATGATACTTTGAATCCAAAACTCTAAACTGTTGAAACTTAAGTCACTTTTTTTATATATTAGCACCCTTTTTAATTAATTGTTCTTAATTATAAGAGAGTTTCCATTTACAAATGCACCTCTAAGTTTAAAAATGAATCCTTTACACGTCGAATAAAACTTCCACTCCAATGAAAGCTTGTTCAGCATCCTAAGTGCAGGACACCATATATATATAAAGCTTCGGCCCAGTTTTCTTACTGAACCAAGGGAAATGAGGTGAAACCATATATGCGACTAGACAACCTTCACAAGTGGGAGAGGAAGAGCTAATTAATTAACCATGCAAAGTCACCATTTATTCCATCTAAATTGTCAACTCTAGCTACTGTCACTTATTTCGAATATTTGCACCATGGAGCCTTCATGGAGCTAAGAATGCGAGAGCTGTTTAATGGATCGATTTTGAGCTCAATGATGCGGATTAGCCCTTCCTCATCCCTTAATCCTCACTCTTTTTCATGGTTTAAACCCGAGAAAATATTTTACTGGAAATCCCATAAGAATATGATATAAAGCCCAACAAACTCCATATCTCCATTTTAGGTCAAATTCCTTCACGAAAAACCTTTAACTTTTTATACTGGCTCAGCCATCATCTCATGAATCACCATCAAATCAAGGATGAAAATTTGTTTATCAATTGCTCCACCTCAAACGAAAATTTGTTCAAAAGCTAACCTCAATACATATAGCAGCACTCCATTCGAGACCACATCACTTGTGTATCCAAATTATTACATCCTAAATGAACTGTTGGCATTTGGCTCAATGATCATTTAATGGGCACACCTCATAACACTTCATTCGTAGTGTTCTTCGGTCGTTCTGCTAGTATTCAGTAAAATAGAATCTTTTGTCTATGAGAAGCCCATTTGATCGATTTCATCATCTACTTTCTAAAGCAAGCTGTTTTTCAATACGATTGGATATATAATAAATCCAACTAAACTCTAAAACAGCATCCTTTTCCTAATTTAACTCGTGCTTTCAAATTTGTTTCTCACGTCCTTCAAATCTCTCCAAAGTTTACTCTTAATGCCCTAACCCATACCCACTTGCAGGGCATAATCAGCACTGACAAGGTAACTTTGTCTGATCAATGGGAGCTAGATTTATTTAGACTATTTTCACGTATGAGAAAAGCTTAAACAGTTAATTGCGCTCGTTCACGAAAATTGGGAATGTAAGGTTAGTTTAATCAATTCTTAATATCACAAAACTGATGTTATTGCCTAGACACTAATTAAGCCTTTATAAACTCTTAGTAGATTGGTGAGTTAAGAAAGTTTTCTGGTTAACACACACACACACATCCATGGATAGAACTTGGGAACATTTAGCAAATCACTGGAGGAAAAACGTAAGGCGCAAAATCCTCTGAAGAACTCGGATTTGAACTCATTCGAACTTAAGAACCTAAATGCAACGGCACGGTAACTTTTGCCTCGGGTAGAGTTCTATTGATCTGTCTAAAGGCAAACTATAGAAATTAATGCCAGCTCTAAAGCACGACTTGATGCGAAGGTGATCGCTATCTTTGTTGAAACTGCGAACTAAAAATGTTTCCAAATTTCTAGTGCTAGCTGTGTGCTGCTAACATCTCTCACGGTCGAAAATGTACATTTCTAAACTCTCCTAATTTAAATAGAAGATCAAAATAAATAAACCAAAAACTTTTAAGGATCAAATAATATTAATAAACTCGAAAACAATATAAGCATACGCATCACGAGTTGCATATATGATGATAGTTAACAGAACTTTTGGGTCAATTGTCAGACTACTTCATAAAATCACAACCCTAAGTGGCTAACTTGATCAAGCTCACAAATCAAACATATAGATGATAATATCGTTGCATTATGGCAAAAAAAAAAAACAATATTAATATATATATGTAGATAAGCTCATCATGATATATATATAATATAATATAAATATTATTGAAGAGATTATGATGATGATAAAAGCGGTAGAATAAACAGCAAGAATATATCAAAGAGATCTTAAAAATTGACCTGGTGCTAGAGAAATCATAGAGCTTGCCGGTGCTAGAGAAGATCATGACTCCAACTTCTGCATCGCAAAGGATTGCCAGCTCTTTCGCTTTCTTCAACAATCCATTCCTCCTCTTTGAGAAGGTCACTTGCCTGCTTGTGGAATTATCAATCCTTCTAATCACTATCTTCCCCCTCCCCATTTTTTTCACTTCCAAAAAATCCTAATATATTAAAATCATTAGACAACAATCAGCAAAAGAGAGAGATATAGGGATCCATAATATTTTTGTTATATGTGTGTGTTTTGTCTTAGGAAAAAAAAAAGAAGAGAAAATTAAAACAAAAACAAAAAAACTTTGACAAAAGGAAAGGGGAGAAGGAAAAAAAGGAAAAAGAAGCTTACTTGGAGAAGAGAGGGTGTTAATGGAGACAAAGTGAGGTTTCAGAGACGTCGTTTTGGGGGAGGTGGGTACATCAGCAAAGAAGCTATATAAGGAAAGTGTATTTCAGGAAGTTTGCATTTTAAAAACCTAGAAAAACCACTGGTTTGTTGTATAAAACAGCTAGTGGTTTTTTCATTTTTTGGGTCACGTGGTCCACTTATAAGCTGAGAGACTTAAAAAAACAATACAGCCGTCTAACGTATAGATCGTTGACGCGTGTGGTATACGAATGCATAGAGAGTAATTCTTATTTTTAGAAATATTTTAAATAAATTTTATAATACTTAAAGAGTAATTAATGTATATTTACAGTAGTTATTCTATGAACCCACTTCATAAAAAGAGAAAGAAATAAGAGAGAAAAAAATTATAAAAGAAAGAAAATTAAAGAAAATTAAACTAACGTGAAAATCATTTTGTCATTTTTTATAAGTTTAAGTGTATTTTTTCTCTTTTTTGTATTTATCTTTCTCTGTAAAAAAAATTCATAAAATAACTATTATAAATGTATCGTAATTACTCTTTGAGTATTATAAAATTTTGTAGTAATTGATTTAGTTTTTTGAGCGAGAAGGAGAAATATATAGAACTAACCCTAAATATATGTATATAGATACTAAAAAAAAAAAACTTCCTAGGGCAGGAGAAACCCGTCTTTTATATTTATGGAATGGCCATTGTCTCCCCCCAATGTCCCAATGTGGCTTTTTTAAGGTTTAGGAGAGTGGGTGCTCAAGTTACAGAAGGCTGTCATTGTCTATAAGAAGGACCAGCTCACTCACTACCTAATTTTGACTAATCATGTTTTGCGTGGAGATTAAAACCATAATGGGCTCCAATTATGTTGTTAATTAAATTAGTGAATAATTAGCCACTTGCAATAAACAAATGGATGATCTTTATCTTCTAAATAAAAATAGTAATGTTTCCATTAAAAATAGTAAGAATCTATATCATGTTGATAAAAGAAGGACTACGTACAAATTCACAAATCATGCTTGTTCATAAAAGAATATGTACCACATTCATTATCAAATTGTAACTATTATATATTATAAAATATCATCCATACATAATTATTTGTTCGTTAAATAGACAGAAAGCTTTAAACTTTTAAAGTTTATAAATATGAACTATACATGCTTTTATTTAGACGCAAATTATATGCAGCAATATTATTAGTATTAGTGAAACTTAAGATATTTGGATTGGTGATATTCTATCATTGACTATTAGAATTTAAATTCCAAATCATGTTATGTACAATGAATAATATCATTTTCATAAATACCTTGATTATTCTACTAGTGATTTGTCTTTTAGTAAACCAGATTAAAAAGTATGGCTAAATTTTGCTAAGCAAAACTTGATGGTCGAGATTTTTTTTGTTTTGGTTTTTCAATAAGATATCCGAAGATGTGATTTCTTAAAACGGGATAGTTATACTATAAATATACTAATTTTTAAAACATTTTCAATCAAGTATATAGATTCTTTTTTTTTTTTAATACATCATGCAATTTTTTTCAAAATGGCTAAACAAGTACATTCATCCTTTTTTTTTTTTTTATCTACTAATAATGTGTCTATTACCCCCAAAATACCAAACTACAATTTTACTTCTTTTTTTTCAATCAAATATATGAACTTTGATTCTTTTTATTTGAGTATATTAATTTTTTCAAAACTGTCAATCAATTAATTTTTTTAATATTTTCAATAGTTATTAAGTGTTTGCTAGTTCGAGAACACTAAATTACAAACTTGCTCTCTTTTTATTAGATGAAAATTTCCTCAAATTATTCTACAATTTCAAATTTTCACAAAGAATTTTTTTAAATAATTTTATTTTTTAATGCTTTCATTTTAGCCATGTCACTTGACCTAGCTAACAAGATACAATGTATTATAAAATTTTAAATTAAACTCGAGTTAAGTTTAACTATAAAAACTGAAGAAAAACACAAATGTGATTTTTCGTCAAGAAGAATCATTAATTGTGAGCATTTGAGAAAAAAGTTTCCTCCAATAAAAAAAAAAAATAATGTACATTCGTCTAAATTATTGATGTATTTAATATGGTTGGATAATGAGATAAATAGTAAAATTTTAAATTTTTCGTGATTTGTATAAAATAATCCTATTTCTTATATATCCTGTCTATTGAACGCAAAATGTTTAATTAACATATAACATATAAAGTATAGCACTTAGCATGATGTTTTCCTCCATCCCCTTCGTGATCAATTTGTAGGGTCAGGACATCCTCGTCATATAGCAAAAGGCTAAAGGTTCTACCAGTTATTTTAACGAAGAGTTTTGGTTGTGACACCACGTGACACCACGAAATGAGGACAACGAAAAGTGAAGAAAAGCATAAGGCAGAGAAAAAAAAAGTGATTTCCGTTTCTTGCTTTTAAGGTTTCCAAATTAGGAAATTGGAGACCGTGCGGCCTGCAAGCGCAAGCAAAATTTGATTTTGTCAAGGTACCTGATCCTCTTCTTTTGGTAAGAAGCAAGAATCATTAGAGATATAGCTGATCCTCTGCGTTCTCGTTTTTTGTCTGTCGCTCTATCTGGGTTCTGACATACCCAAGTTCCAAGTTGGGCACTGTCACCCGTCAGCCTATCTAAAACCCACTAAATATATCTCAGTGCTCACCAATCTTTTTCTCCGCTAGGATAACTACTGTTTTCTCGAATGGGACTCTGGATTTGATTTGATTTATTTATTTTTATGAAGCTAAGCATACTATCAGATCGATGAAGTTAGCGGATAAGTAGAAAAAAATAACATCACAATCAGACTAACAAGTCATTAGATCTATGGAGATTATTTTTAACTAAAGAGTAAGCTATATTGTTTCCTTCAATGAAAAAAGTGTAGTACTAATTTTTAAACTTTTCTGAATAGTGAGCACCTCGAATTCATCTGAATATTTAATCTCTCATAGGAATTGAGAAAGTACATGAAAATTTTCAGAAAAATCTCTCAAGACTTTGGCTTACCCAAACGAAAGACCATTTACATTCCATTTCAAAGTGTCAAAAGAAGGATTGATCCAACTAGCTACAAGTCTCATTTTGACCAAGTTAGACTATATTTTAATACCTTCTAAATTTCGAAATAAGTTACTTCTTGAATACACAAAATGCTTATCTACTACCCTAACTCAATAAGCAACTCTGTGACAAATAAATGAAATAATGTTGTCCTAATTGGCAAAAAGTCATTGAATCCTAAATCATTTGACTTTTTTTACATACCACCAGTACTAAAAAAAATGTCCAATTCATGAATATATCATCCATAGAATCTAGAATTATCCAAACACAATCCCACCACCTGATGACTCGAAATCATAATTTTAAACTTTATAGTCGTTCAACAATATGTGATTTGAAAACTCATTGCAACACTTACAAAAAGGGCACAAATTATTTATAATACTAATGATTTTTCTTTTAACTCTCTAATATTCAGTTTTTCCCAGACAACTAGTCACGTAAAACATTCTAATTTAGGAAGAGTTAAATTCAACCACACGTATGATTTAATTCATAAGAGATTCGCCCGCTAGGAAAATATTTTCGAGCATAGAACTATAGGAACGAATAAAGAAAGAGTCCTTAATTACTGTCATATGATCATATAATCGGGTTCTCGACCTCCTTGCAAAGATAAGTACGTAGTAGAATTAAGTTTAGAAGTTATTGTTCCATAATCAGCTCACTAGACCGAAATTGTCTCCTCCACCCGAAACTACAAATCCAATAAATAAAATTCTATAAATCCATCACAACCATCCTACATTATTTGTTGCCAGCCAACATGTAGATACGAGGGAAGACATTTTTTAGGGGGTAAGAATCACACCCAAATATCCTCCCAATCTCGACTATTATTATATATGACTGCCCTCGCAAGAAAATAAGAGACAAGCTTTCTTAAATTAAAGATTAATTTCTCTTTCTGGATTTTTAAAGTTTTCTCAATAGCATAGCATTCGATTTCACGTTCTGATAATCATGCATTTTTTTTCTTTGTTATTTAATAACAATAATGATGTTGGAGAAAAATCAAGACTTGTCATCTCCGTTACACACGAAATTACACATTTATGATTTTAATAACGGCATCCAAAAAACATACAATAAAAAATTTTAATTTGAAACAAAAGATTTAGAATTCATATGTAAAATAAGCTGACGAACAGTTGTGTACTCTTTTTCGACCATCCACCAACAACTTTACTAATTTGATTTTCTACTTGATAATTTTTTTTTTTTTTTACAAGAGATTTGAAAGATAAAATTATTAGCAATCTGTGTAAAACTTTTATTGCAACAAAAACACCTATAAAAGAATAGAAGAACACAATAAACTAGGAAAAAAAAAACAATAAAACAACAACCTCAAATTAAGTAAAATACCATATAAGCTGAACAAATACAATAAAAAGAACATCTTAATTATCTAATAGTAAGAATGCTAAATCTGAGATTATTACGGACAAAAATGAACAAAAGAAAGAAAAATGCTATCGCTAATGGCAGCAGCTACAAGAAACTCGAGATTTTCAAAACTAAGAGAGAAAAAATAATTTACTTTAAAAAAAAATCTTGTATTTAAAAGTAACTTAATCACCCTATTAGATAAGTCACATTATAAGGTTATATTTCTTAAGTTTTATAATTATAGAAATTTCGGAATCCCTAAAACTCTTTTATTGAGAGGGGCCCAAAAAAAAAAAAAA